CACAGCAAGCCCTCCTAGGAGTTTGTAACGAAGAGATTCTGCCTGGGCAATGGCACACAGACCTCTTGTGGCCACTTTTTCAGCATAAAGCTCCACATTGCCCTCAGGGAAGCCAAATCTTTTCTGAACCACAGCAGTTAGTTCTCGGATCCGTCGGCCCTTTTCACCAAGGACATTCTGTGTCCTGGTGGCTAAGATGATGATTTCTGTCCTGGTTGGTGTAACTCGAACTTCAACTCCAGAGTAACCATCCTCAGCCAGTTCCCGAGTAAGAAACTCATTCAGTTCGGCTTTGAAGATGCCATCTGCGACAAACTTCCTCTTCTTGGAAATCTGCACCACCATCTTTGCTCACGCGCCGCCAAGGGAAAAGCGCCTTTAGCTTTTTTAAAGTCTTCATTTTCTCATTTTCATTTTAAATGAGAGGAGAAAAAAAATATACTAGTGTTGTTGTCATCATATTCTTCTGTGGATTAAATGAGATAGTGCCTGAGAAATCCATAGGAGCCTTACACGAGCCACGCAGTAAATGTAATGGCATTTTGGAAGCTGGGCCTCTGAGAATTCCAAGGGGCATGAGAAGAAATAACAGCAGAACACCAGTAAAATTGTTAAATGAAATTGATACTGAAACTCAAAGTGGTTTCTCTGTGGAATGAGAAGGCAATTCTGATTGAAGCACTCTGGAAAATACGCTTTCTGGCACCACGGCAATGCTTCAATTATGCACTTAGCACTTTGTGATAGCATTCTATTCCAAAGTGGTTATGCACCTGTACCAAAGGGATGGCTTTGTCATTTTATGGGAAACCGTGACTCTAGCTCACCATGACAAAAGGAAGAAAAGAAAGACAAAAAGTGGAGAGGACACACAAAGAGAGGAGAGATTTTTTTAGAAGACCATAGGCAACCTCAAAGTTCTCTTAATAGGAAGCTCTGGTGGCGTAGGGGCAAGGAACCGCTCTGCAATCCTGAACATATTCAGTTCAAACCCACCAGTTGCTCCACGGGCAAAAGATGGGTAGTTTCCTTATGTGCAATTAAAAGCCTCTGGAAACCCCCTAGAGAGTAAGCTATAAGTTGATTCTGATTTGATTGAGAACAACATAACTAGTTTATAAACTGAGTGTGGGAAAGAGTGCAGTTAGGAACATCTCTGAATTTCTGAGGAGCAATGATGTTAGTTTAAGGACTAAGGTGTGCCTGATTCAGACTATGGTCTTTTCAGTCACTTGCTTTGAATCTGAGAGCTGCACAATGAATTAGGTGACAGAAGAAAATATTGATACCTTTGAACTATAGTGTTGGAAGAGGGTACTGAATATTCCATGGACTGCCAAAAGAACAAAAAGATATGTCTTAGAGAAGGTGAAGCCAGAGTGCTCCTTGGAAGCAAAGATGATGAAGTTTCGTCTACCATACCTTGCAGAAAGACATTATAGGTAAAAAAGGTGGCGGGATGGTGGAAAAGTGGAAGACCCTCAATCAGATGGATTGACACAGCGACTATAAAAATGGGCTTAAGTGTGTCATAGATGGTGCGGTTGGCACAGGATAGAACAGGGTTCAGCTCTGTTGTTCATAGGATGGCCTGTGAGTCAAACTTGCCTCAATGGCATTTACATAAACCACCACCACCACCACCAAGTGTCTTGAGGTCTCTGCTCTCCACTGGATTTTTGAGGCTGTAAATCCTATGGAAAGAGATTTCAAGTCTCTCTCTCTCTCTCAGACCAAATGCAGTATTTGAACTTCCAACCTTTAGTTAGCAGCCCAATTCACTGTGCACTATTCATCGTTGTTATATGTCATTAAGTCGCCTGTGACTCCTAGCGATCCTATGGACAACATCTCTGAACTTCGCTCTAGCCTGAGCATACTCTCATCAACTCTTTTGAGTAAAATACTTGCTCTAAAGCTGAGCCCCAAATTAAGACAGACTAGGGAGAACGATTGGCCATCCACTTCCAAAATAGCAGGCCTTCAAAAACACGATGTACCACAGAGCATTGTTCATTAGGAGATTATGAATTATTTTTATTTTCCAACAATACTATTTGCAGAAAAGAAATAAAGACCAAAAAATCTTTTCTTTCCCCTAAATACATTGGTGTGAATTTCTGTAAACAAGTTCATTCTCGTATAAAACATCTGTGGAAACATCAGATCAGATGGATAGCACTATATCTCTCCACACCTCTAATACCATACGTATTCCTTTCACTGACTGCCTCAATCATAAGTTTGTAAATAAAACTTGTCCAGAGTCATACATTAGATGGAATGGTTTCTCAGTATTTGCTCAACTTTCATGACACTGTTGCTGGTTACAGTCATTTTATTAAATTTTGTTTGTTTCCCTATAATGACTCTATTGGGTTTTATTCATGTATATTATATTTTATATACTCATTTACTGTGTGTTATACATAATTGATTATTGTTGCTTTATGTCTCTTGTTCCCCCTATCTCATCAAGTCCCCATTGCACCCTGGCTATCCCTTCACAACCTCCCATGGGTCCACTGAACTTGGCTGTCTCAGTGTCTCCTCTCTCCTCCTTTCTTTTTCTTTCCCTCTCTCCTCATCTCTTGAACAGTTATATATATATATCCTGTTCCTAGTTCCTAATTTCAGTAGCCATATTATTCTTATATCAATTCTTGCCCTGTTGATCCACTAATTCACTTTTAAAGGTATAATTCAAATAACAAAAGCGAACCATCTAAAAGTGCACAAGCTAGTGGAACATAAGGTTTCCATAATCCATATTGTAGAATGGTCATCAACATAGTTCACAATGTTTGCATCACTCCAGAAAAATACCCCACGGCTATTCAGCAGTCATTCACTATTTCCCAGTAGTATGCCAGGCCAAGTCTCTGGAAAACAGGGTTCTGTTTTCAGTCTGTATGTGTGTGCCGCTTTTGCGCATTTCACACAAATAAGAATCACATTAACAAGTGAAAGGGAAATAAAAGGCAGACCATCTGACTCAGTAATTCCTCTCCCATAATTTAACAACAACAAAAAAATTTCAAGAGATTTAAAGGAGACTAATTATATTATTACGTTAAGAAAAGATTAAAAATCTATCAAACAATAAGGAATCATGGTTAATCCATTCCAAAGAATGCCATGATATCATTAAGTATATTTATTGAGTGAGAAAGAAAGTATTTTTTTAAATCAGTATGTCTAATAATTAAGTTATAACACACAAACATTAGGAAAGAATCACCAAAAGAGTGCACTTTGTTTTGCTGTTATGTCAGTTAGAATTGGAACCCACTCAGAGCTGACCTTCCCACAGATTTTCAGAGAAGATAAATCGCACTGGAGGAAATAGCTTCTCTTTCTCCTATGGAGCAACTGGTGGATTCAAACCACATGCCTATGGGTTGGTGACACAGCTCCTCCTCACCATTAAGCCACCAATTGCTGAAGTCAGTTCTGTATGAACTCATAGTGAACTAATGGGCAGCAGAATGAAGCGCCCCCATGTTCTCCACCTTCCTCACAGTTGCTGCTGTGTGTGAGGGTATATATAGCTGCAACCACTCTGTCAATGCACGTCCTTGAGAGTCTTTCTCTTTTCCACTGACCTTCTGCTATACCAAGTAAGATCTCTTTCTCCAAAGACTAGCCTCCCATCATAACAGATCCAAAATGTGTGAGAGAACATCTGGCCATCCTTGGCTCCAAGAAGCATTTTGCCTCTACTTCTCCCAATAGACATTTGTTTGTTCTTTTCACAGCCCATGGTGTAGACAATATTCTTCGATAACACCCAACTCAAAAACATCAATAATCCTTCAACAAACAATATCTCATTGCCATAGAGTCTAACTCATAGCTGCTCCTCTATCTGATTTTCAGAAGTTGTAAATTGCACAGGAGGAGAATGCCTGTGTTTCTTCCACTGAGAAAGTCAAACCACCAGAGAGATACCAGTTACCTGTATTTGAGGTAATGGAAAATGCCAAAGCTTGAGGCAGGCACACCTTACTCTTCAAAATGACATTCTTCCTCTTTAGCCCTTTCAAAAAGTCTTATGGCATATTTGCCAAATAGAATACATTCTTTAGAATAAACTTTTTTGGACATTGATTACTGATCATAATAAAATAGACTTGTTGGCAATTCCAATCATACCTCTGTTTATCATGATGTTGCCATTGATCCAATTGTAAGGATTTTTGTTTTCTTGATGCCGAGGTGTAATAAAGGAGTCTATATAATGTTTGGTCTTAATCAGTAAGTGCTATAAGTCATTTTCATTTTTCACAAACAAGGATGTGCCATGTAAATAATACCATAATACCAAAAATATTCAAGAAATTGTGATAGTATCATAAACTTCTTTTACCTTTCCTTTTCAGAGTCTTAGAAAATGTGTTTTTTAAATTTTAAGAAGCAAACTTTCTAGTAAACTATTAATTTTTCCTGATAAAACTTAAGTCTCATGTTTGAGAATTTTATCTGAAGGCTACCAGAGATGTTAAAAAAAGGAAAAGATACAAGATAAGAAAAAAGTGGAGATTGTTTTCCTTCCTTTTACTGTCAAGGTCTATGTTTAGAAAATTCTGGCCTAGCAATGATTGCTTTTCACTGTCTCCTCCAAATGAATGCATTTTATTATTGGGTAGAGCACAGATTGGAAGAATAAGACTCTATAAAATATATTCTTATATACTCTATTATTTGTTTTCAAGAAGTGTTCACAGAATCAATTCTTTTGTGACCCACATAGAAAGCAAAATAAAAATGTTCTTGTTGTTTGAATAGATGACTATACACTCCAAGGAAATAATTGATTGAATAATTGATCTACTGCCATGACTCTTGTTAGGTGCCTTGAGTCAAGTACTACTCCTAGCGACCTTATGAACCACAGACCGAAAGCATGCCCTATCGTGTGTCCTCCTCATCATCTCTGATAGACTTGAGCTCATTGCTGCAGTCACTGAGTCAGTCTAGTGCATTGAGTGTCTTCACTTTTTCTGGAACTCCACCTTTCTAAGCAGGATTTTCCTAAGGAATAACCTCTCCTACCAACATGCCCAAAGTATGTAAGATGAAGCTTTGTCCTCTGCCTCTTAGAAGCTGCACTTTCTCCAAGACATTTACATTTGTCGTTTTGCTAGTCAATAGGATATTGAGTACTCTCTTCCAACACCACAGTTCAAAGACATCCATTCTTCCTCTGTTATCCTTATTCAATGTCCAGCTTTCAGATTTATAGGAAGGGATTGAAAAGACAATGGCCTGAATCAGGGTCATGTTAATCTTCAGACTAAGATCATTGCTCTTCTGTGTTTTAAAGAGGTCTCTGACAGCAGACT